CATCGATATCTAAATACCATGTCCCCTGTTTATTTAAAATCCTTCGAGTTCCGTGAGGTCCTTTTCTGTGGCACATGTCATAACATACCTATTGCAATCATACTCTAGGTATCCGGCTTGCTTACCTTAGGAACGTAGGAGTACAGGGGAGGGGCGCGTTTCGTCGAAGGAAGGATTCTTCAGCGGAGTAAAAGAGGTCCCCTTCAAAAGTAAGATCGCATGATAAAATGAAGCAAACAATTTGAGTGTTTATGTCTTTTATTGGAGTCGGTTATGGTAATAGCGATACTACTGTGTATACTCGACTCGGGATTCAAATGCTTTAGCACAGGTATGTAAAGATACAAATGAAAATTACTTAGCATATGCACATATAGTATCATATGTAGTTCGCGTGCAGAGCCGCTCCTGTGCCAATATGATGCGTGTTTGTAGGTATTGTCTCTACTTTTCGCGTTTGCCCGTTGACTGATCAATCAAGTTGTTTATAATCTTAATGACCTCGTTTCTCAAGTAGATACCTATATGTACATGTTTAGACGTTCAGGTGGTTCCCAAGGTGCCTAGGTACTTGACCGAATAGAAAAATTTTCTAATTGTTCACCGATGCTCGGCGATGTTTGCGCACTGCCTGATTATTTCTTATGTACACTTTTTAGTTGGATCTACACGTTATTAAGGATGGATAGAAGAGGTACCTATCTACCTAGTACTAAGGTAGGTAGTCAGCCCTAGAGGAAGTGGATCGGGATGGATGCCGCAGCAAGTCATAGAGTGTATCCACGTTGTTGGAACTCGAGATGCCATATGTTACCGCGGAGGTAGCTAGTGATCTCATGCATTTTGTCTTTCTTTCTTTTTTTAATTTAAAAGAAAAAGAAAAGGCATCAAACGGGGTATCGGGTTGCCTATGATACTTCGGTAGGTTATCTGTCGGAAAAGGGAGTTATTGCCCGAGCTACCTAGTATAAGTCTTATATATATTAGATACCTCGGTAAGTAAGAAGCATTACTCGGGGACTTTAAATAGGGCATAGACACATTTAAATCGTTATAATGTATTTGATGTCTTTACATATGTAAATCTAGCGGGCGTGACGGAATTGTGTTCCAAGCGCTCAGCGAACATTATACTAAAATGAGATATGATAGGTACACTAGCATGGACGTTTTGGATCCATGTCTTCGCTGAACTACACTATATCTGATGCAAGATATTCACATCGTATTGTTACGGTCGCTATTCTCCCGTTTAAGTCCAGATGGGGGGGTCTTACACATCGGCGGCATATATGGCTCACTTTGTTCATCGCAAATGCTGGCCTATTGACGATACATACTTTAGACATTGGGACGAAAAGAAGAAAAATCGAAAATAAAAAGAAGCTTTATGTAGATTGAAAACGGGAAGTGCGGATGCTACCCACCATTTCAGGGGAATATGGATCCAGGGGTTAGAACCCCAACGCGGATAAGCGCCAGGAACAGTAGTATGATTGGACCGCGGAAGCTTTGGTCAGGTTAGCGATAATAGGACTTAGCGCACACCGGCGTATCAATCACTTTTTCGCAATTTGATGTCACCATGGGGTGTAAGTTGGTTAGTGCGAGACTTCACAATATATACTGTGTTTTTATGTATTGTACAATACCTAGGTACCTTCCAGGCTACGTCGTTTGAGCGAGAGGTTGAGACGCCAATTCCTACGAACCCCTGAATTTTAGGTCGAGTCTTCCTCCTCGCGCTTGTCATCAATCAGATTCAAGCATTTAAGCCTTGCCGCGCCATTGGCTTGCTTTAGTACATACCTCAGTACATGGATAGTGTCGATCGATAGGAATCTTGTTTATTATGGTACATAGCAGTTGAAAACCCCTAAAAAGATAAATTCCGGGAAGCAAAGAAAGGATATCACGCGCTGTCGTTAAGATGCAAGCCCAATCATCTGATCTGATCTGGCTGTTTGGTCCTCCGCGCGATTTGCGTCTCCCATGTGCGAACGACCCATTCCAGCGGGTAGACGGATGATGTGCCGTGGCTGCATTGGCCTATCTAGGGCTCCAGCGGGTGTCCTGATTGCTTCTTTTTCGCTTGACGGATATCCTCTCCCTATTCGGTTTAGATAGCTTTACTAGGTACTTGGATACCCGGGTTTAAATGAGAGCTACTTAAACGGACGCTATAAGCAAGTGCGTAGTTGTTTGAGATTAAGCCAAACGATTGCTTGAGATCTTTCCCAGCATGGAGAAGAGACCCGAACCGTAGATAGAACATCACGGGAAGAATGGGAGATCGCTGCAATCTAATAAGACCGTTGCATGGCAGCTGAACACTACTCCTCTCTTAAGCTGTTGTGCAACCGCCTCAAAACGCCGCCGAATCTGATAAAAGCAGGTATTCGTAGTAGGTAGTACATTAGGTATCTAGTGTTAGTTGGCTTCGTCTTTTGGTATCTAGACTTATGGTCTAGGTTAACTACCAATTTTTTATTTATTTTTTCTTCAATACCTGTAAGGCTAGTAGATATCCACTAGTACATACACTAGCAACAAGGGTCACAAGAGCATTAGGATCGTCGTGTTCTAGAAGAAGCCAAAGTATATTAATTAATCGAGTTCCATTCCGATGATCCTCTCTTGTTAGATAAGGTCACGGAGTAGGTATAGTGTATAAATGGACTGGGTACATTATAGTCGGTTTTGTAAGTAGATGAATGATAATACCCTGGAAGAGGAATCGCTTACATACCTGGAGAATAATATAAAATAGTGGCGGATCTAATCATGTAATAGTATCGTGAGATTGGGATCCTAAGCTTAGCACAATCATAATCTTTTGAATATTGTTTGATTTTTAAATATATGGTTTGCTTATTTACCTACCTCCCAAATTCCATTCTTCCTTTTCCATTTACTCATGTCATTGCATGGTATAGCCAAAAAGATTGTCTAATCAATAGTTTAGTCGTTCCCCTGCGTATGTATAATTTGATTTATATAGGAGGTAGCTATGTTCTCAGGTTTCTCATCCTCGATATATATTCTTTTAATAATACTTTGGTCTAGCCCATTTCCTAAGTAAGTGATGTATGAATACTTTATAAGGGCCTCGAGCTCTTTTGCAATTTTAAATACCTACATAGTGCAATGATATATGTAGATATTTGAGGAATGTGCGTAGATGTGCATACATATTCGGATACTAGCCTTGGCTATTAATGCTAAGAATCTAAGTTGGATTTAGTAAGACATGTGGGAAGTAAGGATATAATTGTCCAATAGGCTATCAGATGGACATTTTTGCTTTGGAAATTCTAGAGACACAAAAGTGACTTAGGAGAGACAGTGCAATTTCCTAGGAAATAGCACTGATTATAAATAAGTAGAAAATGAGGACTACATAAAAATGAATAAGTCGTACCTACAGTACCTGTGTACATACATGTATATATGTATTGTACCTGGACACCCTTGTCGCCTGCACTTACACGCTACACTACTATATGCAGGGCCCTGCACCGTTATGCAGGGGAGGAGGGACTTCTCTTCCAGGATAAGCTCCATTTCCAATGTTCTTGGCATTAATTATCCTTGTTCATCACCCTCATTTTCCACCCACTCGGTTTTTCCCACTTTCGTCTTGACTCTCCGACTTGTCAGTCACTTGTTTTTTTGTCTTGTCTTGTCTGATTTGGTTCTGGTCCGTGGTCCGTGATCCGTGGTCCGTGTTGAATCCTCGTTTACTTGTTTACTATTATCAGCCAGTCAATCTCTTTCGTTTTTTGCTTTCTCTCGGCACTCGCTTTCCTTGTCGATTGTTCGTCTTCTCTGCGGCGACAACTCTCACCATAGTCACTCGTTTTATCCCCAGCGACAAGGCGACACTCGAACTGATAAGTGGAACGATCGGTCGATTAGAATAACTGCAACAGGCCCTGGTTATCAAAGATACTGCTCGTAGAAGATACCGAAGGAAAGGGGCACCGAAGCAAAATACAGAGTCTTGTTGTGATCCTTAGGCATTCGACGAATAATCAAGACAGCCGTTGCACAAGAACTAAGAACTTGAAATCATTTCTCATTCCAAGACCCAGAGCTCGGATCTCGCAAATTAAGCAGTCACAAAATCGGGTTCCAGCATTCATCTGCCATCAGCCTATCTTACAGGAACCATTGGTCTGTTGTGTCCGTGTGACTTTGAGTATTCTCTCCTTTGGAATCCTCTGGCATCGTATGCTACGACTCGCGGATATTCCATTCCAGAAATCTCCTTGAATCGATTTTCGTTTCTCTCATTCTCTTAGACCAGGGAACAGGATTGGCTCTTTTCGAGAAAGAGGGACAAGGTCATCTCGATTTGCTTGTCTGATCGTCGGCCGGCCCATGTGCATATTCATGCTTGCTTCGCTTTCGACTATTCAGGTTACTATCCAGGTTCCCCCATCGAATCTGTGAAACGCTCCCGACACGATTCATCCCGTCTTCAGGTAAGCCCCTCCAATACCTTTCTCCAAAGCATCTTGCAACTTCTTCCAAGGAATTGTTTCTAGGTACTATTCTAGAAACCAGGACTATTGGAATATCTACCAATCAATTTGCATTTCACGCGGCACTTCCTGTATTTGAACTCTCCAACACGTCTGTGTTCGCACCGGTGCAAGCCCCTTAACCTCATCTCCTACATAATATCAATAGCCCTAATTCATTTAACTAATTATACTTCTTTTTCGTTGTGGACAGGGATCACTTTGTGCTTCCAGAGTCGACTTTTCCGTCATTTGGCACTGCCTAAATCTAATAGTAAACCTCGAGACGTATTCAAACCTCACTGGAGTCGATCGCTTTCGGCAATTTCGCTTGCTTTCATTAATGGGATAAGGAGCATAATACCATCTCGTTATCTTATATCTTAACTTGTCTTCCACCATATCGAACTGGTTTCTTGTCGCAACTGAGAATTTCCACCCGGGAACGAAGGACGAACGCCGGTATAATTCACAATGAATCGTTTCAGGACTAAGAAGAAGGCCAAGGATGAGATCTCAACGCCTAGGCCTTCGCAGGATTCCGAATCGTCTATGCCATTTCGGCCATTTAGAAAAGGGAAAAAGACCCAAGAACCAGAGAAGGTCGAGATCGATATTTCGGCCGCCCTACCATCCAATGACGAATTCCGTACTAGTTTGTTAATGACAGGCCTTTCAGCCCGGTTCTCCATGCTGCGGGAGCAGGATGATCCAAACACCAAGATCGGCAAGGCAAGCGATGACAGTGTTCTCTTCCCTAAGCGACAGTCCAGGTTAGATTACGGTGGGTTCCGCGGCTTGGGAGATATTGCCGAGGTTGAATCGATAAGAGCAGCAGCTCCTTTCGCTAGGAAGGCCTCTTATAATTCAGATGATGCGGACTCGTTGAAGGCGAGCAGTGTCATGGGACGTTCTAAACCGACTGAGGGTAACAACCTGTTTGGCGGGCGCCAGAAGATCTACAAAATTCCGGTTGGTACTAGTTCGTCGAAAAATCTTGACGGCGGAATGAGTGGACGAGCCTTGTACGATGACGATGTTGCCTTGTCTGCTTTTCAGCGTTGGAGGCAAGCAGAGAAGGAGCGTAGATCCTCAGAAGAAGACAGGGAGGAAAATGAAGAGAGGAATTCAAGCTATATAGATGCGGATGCACCCCGCGCCGATTCACCAATACTCGATAATTACAACCAAAAAAGAGAAACCTCTTCGACAACATCATCCATCCCATCATTAGCCAGGAATTCGACCGCCGCAACATCAGTAACGTCTTCTCAGCGGACTCCTTCTCTAATGGACTGGCAGCCGTCAGCTAGCTCTACTACGGGGGTAGAGAGGAGCGTGACACGTGCCAGAAGGCTATACGAGTCTGGGCTAAGCAATGATCTCCATGAGCAGCAGTCCTCGGCTCTTTCCCGTGTCGACACTCTGACACGACAGCGTACTTTTGGTACTCTAACGCCCGATCTGGCCCAGAATTCGCCTTCACCTACGACACTTGGATTTGCCGATCGGTTTAGTAGCGAGCGAAAGGTCCTGGCAAAGTCTAGCGCGCCGAACTTACGATCTATGAGCCCCTCCGCCACTGCCTCTCCTATCGGTACTCCAGACCTCGGCAATCGTGTACCCAGCGCGACCGATATGCGATCAAATTTCGGGGGGGCGCCGCCGCTGAGCCCTCCAATAAGCGAGACGGAAGAAAATTCGATACTTCAAATTCACCCCAATGACCGAGGAAAAGCTACCGCACTCGGGGTCTTCCAGAAGCCCTTACAACCATATGATGAGTCCAGGTATGCTCAACGGCAATTACAACGGCAGCAGAGCCGGGATATGCTTACGCAAAAGTCTCGGGAGGACTTGAACTTGTCTTCCGTAACTAAGAGATCCAGTTCATCATCGTCTGGAACAAGAAGAGAATTGGAGCCTAAAGTTTATGTGGCTCCCACCGAAACCGGGTCTGCGTCAATTGAGCCTACAACGTCGTTCTTGGCTGATCCTAATGACTCGGATTGCTCTCCTGTTGCGTCGCCTAAGTCAGGCGCATCTCCTCGCGCCTTGTTGAGACGTCCATCAGACCGCCAACATCCAGCCCTTCGTGACTCTACGAAGCTGACGGAATCCGATAACCAATCTGTTCCCAGGGAGAATTCGTCGATGTCACCAAATTCGAAAGGTATCTCGCCCGCAGATTCACCTACTCTAGGTCCAGCTCCTGGTGCTGGACTAAGCGGTATGGTGCGGCAACACTTGCGAGGTGACAGTAGTGCCTCGTCAATTTACGGCGTCATACCTGCTACGTCGGGTCTAGAATCTCGTTTTCCAGCAGGTCCAGAGGATGCGCAAGATTTCCAAGGATCAGGAGTAAATGCGATTCCGTGGGAGCTGCCCGATGTGGACCGGGATTGGACATTGGACTTGGACGTCAACGAACCAATGCTAGACGTCCAGTCTCGGTCGTCTAATGTGCCTACCACCGAAGAATTTGCGGACAAAAATACCAATGCAACTAAGGGTGACGACCGAGATGAATTCGCTAGTCAGCTAGCGGATGGGGCGCGCCGAGTACGTGAACGACTAACTACGTATGTTGAAACCGACAGTCGTTCTTCCTCGCCTCGACGGTCGGAAGAGCGGGTAGATGGAAAGGAGCAGACATCTAATCCACGACAAAATGGGTTAGCTCTTCTACAGACAAAGAGCAGTCAGGGATCTCTAGTTGACCGAGGCCGGGAGCCTCCCCAATCCAAGCCTATGAAGATGCTTGGTCTTGGGGCTTCAAATGGCTCTCAAACGGCAAGCTCGGCACGGGAACATGACGACCCAGAGCAGCAATCAGCGGAAAATGATGCTCATGCTGGACTTCGAGCATTTAGACAAGCGAAGCGCGAATTACAAAAGATGAAAGAAGCAGAAGTAGAGGTTAGACATCAAACACAATCTCAGGATCTTGCTCTAGACACCGATTCTGTACGATCGACACCAACTAGACAATTACCCCCCGGACAGCGATCCCCCGAACGCGAACGGAAACCGCCGCCTATATTTTATCAGCAACGGACGTTCAGTGAAGAGGGAAAGGAGGTGCAGAACCTCGCATCCAGAGGACAGTTGAGGAATGACCGCGATAGAAGTGGTTCGGACTCTAGCAACGACGGGCGGTCAAATGTGCGGCCCCCGCGGAATCTTCAAATTGGTTCCAGTGGAACCGCTGCACGACCTCCAATGCGCTCTCCAGGCCTTCCCGGCACGGATATCAAAGGGTCGCCAATCATGCCACCGCATCCGTATCCAGGGTCTAAGAGATCTAACCCTGCAGCCACTAGCAACCTCCGCGTACAGACGTCTCGCGGGTTCGAATCGACCCAACCCTCACCTGTCTCTCCTATGCCATCACCGTTCGGCCGTAATACGCCGACCTCTGGTGTGGTTCCTTCGCCTCGATCAGGAGCATCTCCGAACCGCGGCTACGACAATGCAAGTCCGACCACAAGTGATAGCACAAGACGCAAAATCAAGACCAAGGACATTTCAGATCCTACATTCGTCATGTCGACTTCCCAAGTCCCTACCGTAGCTCTGTCAGAAGCGCCACAGAACGTATCTCGCAGCAATAGTCGGGCTGCGCCGCCTTTACCCCCTATTAACCCGAGACGAAGGCAAGATTTCTCTAGCACTCGGGCTGTCTTTGACAACTTAAGCCGACGCAGCGGTAATGGCATGGAGGCAGAGGCCCTCGACCGCAAACGCCTCCGGCCGGTAGCATCCGATGCTTCAGGACTCCAATCAAGACCTCCTAGCCACGCTCCCCCTGCCGTTCCTACGCCTAGGAGAGCCGTGACTGATGGTGGCAAAAACCCTGGCATGGGATTGCCGGGTGGTATGATTTAGTTAGGAACAACGTTACCGAATCTTTTCTTCAGAGCTGTGTTTAATTCCAAACCAAACGGCCTGACCCTTGAGCATGCACGAAATGTAATGAGATACCAATTCCAGATTCTTTTTTTCAGCTCTTCATGAGGTTATGGGACGGTTGTATATTTTGTAAATTTAAGCTTGCACTTGGCATCACGCATTTGCGTTTCCTTTATGGTGGACAGACTTACATGGATGTCGCTTGCTTATGGGGCTGGCCTCGGAGTTGAAGCGGATAGGGGGAACTTATTTACCTAATCAGCAAAAGCAGGGAAGGAGGCGTATAAAAAACGCAGCTTTAGTCTCGGGATAGTTATACTCGTACCGAAAGATGTTATATTATAGCAGTTATATCATAAAACCATTGCTCTCTACGTGCCGCTACTGGGTGTCAGGGGGAAACCCTTGCATAGTACACTTATGCAGAAGCTCAAGGCAACATCTAAAGTTATAGCCAGCATTAGTAGTTCTGGGGAGTTTGCGGGGGATTTAACACGTGGAATCGGATGCGGAGTACCTAAAATGAATAAATACATCAGACAAACCAATAGCGAATGAATCCCGGTCTAACTCCCGGTCCAACTCCCAAGCCCCCGGATCATGGAAGATGTGATACCGCGTCCCCGAAAAGCTTACACGACCGAACTTAGTGGAACCCAATCAAGGTGTATTTATGTCGTGATGATCGTCATATTCCCTCCTCCACGTCTACGCCAAGTCTCTTTATCGTAGACTGCATCAACTCGATGACGGTTGAATGGGTCCCATTGCGACTCAAGCATCCTCTCTACGGCAGGTGATCATTTCTGGGCACTATGTTTTTTAGCGGTTAAACGTCAATATCCGGTTTGTTTCCCTTCCACTATCTGGGCGCCGTCTCATGGCATCCCCCAACTTGGTGAAAATAGCGACTGGCGGTGCTTCTGCCGGCTACGGTCCCATGCAGAAACCATCAAGGATACCATGGTTCGTCTTGTTAAAACCGACATGATGCCGCGATGCATCGGCCTGGTTCTAAGTCCGACGAGCCATGCCGACTCAGTGCCCAGGATTCCATAATTTCGTTTTTAAACCCCAACTTACCCGTCAACCGTGAATGGGTATGGGTTATCCGTCGAAGTAAAGTTATTAGTGATGGCTCCCTTCGCGATATTCGCAGCTCTTGGGCTGTTTTTGTCGGCTGCAAACGCGCAAGCCTGCACTCCGCTTACCCCGTCGGCGCCGCTCAAGGTAAGCGATGGTTATACCGCCCAGGTAATCTTGAACGGGTTGAGAATACCACGCAATATCATTTTCGATACGGCGGGAAACTTACTCGTGTCCGAGCAAGGAGGAGCTGGTATTAGGAGGGTCGTCTTGACTGAGAGTGACGGAAACGTCTGTGTAGCTTCAAGCGCCCAGTTGATCCCCGATACATCGGTGAGATATCTTCGGAAGTCGTGTGCGTAGGTCGTGTACTCACCATATAAATATCAAGTTGAACCACGGAATTGCACTCAGTCAAGATGGAAAGACACTCTTCGTCTCGAACATGGCGAGCGTGTACGCGTATCCGTATGATGCAGAAGCCGGGACTGTCGGCACCAGAAAGACGTTGATAGAGGGCATGAGAAGCGGAGGCCATATCACTAGAACACTCCTTACCCCCTCTAGCGCCCCGGACGTCCTCTTGGTCTCACGCGGCTCTGATGGGAATATTGACAATACGACTACCGATGTTGAAGCCGGGAAAAGTATAATCAAGACGTTTAAGATTTCGGAATTACTTGCATCAGAGACCGCAACGAACTATGTATCCGGGGGTGAGGTTCTAGGCTGGGGTCTGAGGAACTCGGTCGGCGTCGGCGAGGATCCGTCAACAGGTGGTATTGTATGCTTCGCACTTCCCCTTGAAATTGATCATTGTACGGATCGCTAACTGGGGTATCAGTGGTCTGTTGAGAACTCGGCAGATGACATCGTCCGTGGCGGTGTCGACATTCATAATGAAAACCCGGCAGAGGAGCTGAACTATCACGGCGTCATCAAAGATACGGAAAACTCCCTTAAGGGCCAGAATTACGGATATCCAGCTTGCTTCTCTGCGTGGCAAACTACGAATATTCCGTCGAATTCCGAGATTACTGTTGGCTCGCAGTTTGGTGGCGTAGCCGGAACTCCTTGTACGTGCTATTAAGTATATATCTAAGTTAATGATTGATTGATTGGTTGGTTGATCAATGGCTGACTTTCCCATAGTCGAACAGGTAACGGCACGCAGCTCATTAGAAGAAGTTGACGAGTTCTGCCGCGCTGAACGGCAAGGGCCGCGTCTAGTCTTCCCTGCCCATACGGCTCCGTTGGATATTAAATTCAAGGAAGACGGAAGTGCCGCCTACGTTGCATTTCACGGGAGCTGGTTAGTATCCTACCTAGTCTATCCATACACCACTCATCCTCGAATGCCCATCGGCTCTAACTCAATACTCCCCACAGGGACAAAAATCCTCCTGACGGATATCGGGTGGGCAAGATCGCATTCGCCAACGGCCAGCCCGTAGCAAACGTCACGGATACTGCGGCTGTGGAGTATATCCTACAGAACGAGGACACGACTAAATGTCCGGGGGCATGTTTCCGTCCCGTAGGCCTTGCGTTTGACAAGAAGGGTCGTCTATTTATGACCGCCGACATGTCTGGAGAGATATTCGTGATCACCGAGGTTTAAGCCCATTGCAAAGTAAGAGACGAAGTAGGTCCATTGAATCAGAGCGTGGGAGATCTTGTATATCAGTCTGGCTCCAAAGTAAATGTTGAACGCACGGGAGAGGGGAGTGTATAACCACATGTCAACGTGGACTAAGGAGTGACGTGATAGATTAGAATCCTGATATATTTGCGTTTCGGCACGACGATCTGCTGACGCCGAGAGCTTACTGATCTACATTATTTCATCTACGTGCGAATTCTTTTCTTATCATCATCCCTTACGTAGACAGGCATAATGTATTCCAACGAGGCGCAGACGGTAGGAAATAGACGATCGATTTCTTGAGGGTTCTTACAAGAAGCTTCTCCATCAGGAAAGCCTATCAAACCAAGCAACGGTCTAGGGCACATAAACTACTCTACCCTTGGCCTTTAACGATGCGTCATTCCAAGTCTCTTCGATGTCCTTGAGCTGCACAGACCAGGCGGGGGTCAGCTTCCAACTGGCCACCGTCGGAACCATTGTGTGCAGCTCCTTTATTAGCGCCGGTATGCTCCAGGAACCCGCTCCCGCTCCCCGGATAGTTAGGTCGAAAGACCGGAGGAGACGGGACGGGATTTGGGGAGTATGCTGAGAAAGACCCCCGATTTGGACGTACTGTACCGGCTGCTTGGCCCGGCTCAGCGATGTAAGTAGATGTATCATCGCGTCACCATAGACGTAATCTAGAATCACATCAACGTCGTGGGCTTTGGAAAAGTCAGTTTCGGCTACGGGATCTTGGAGCACGATATAATCATCGAGGCCGTCAACGTCGGCTAAAGTCGCGCTGTTCCGCGCGATGCCGATGACCTTGCCAGCCCCCAGCGCCTTAGCCGAGTGTACGGCCAAGCGACCACTAGCACTCGTCGCACCAATGATAACGGCGGTAAAGTCCTTGGGTAGGTTGGTAGTACGCTGAGTGATGGCCATCCAACTGCTCATGGCGGGATTGAGGTTCGCGGCGAATGATACCGGATCGACATGATCAGGCAGCGGGTAAACGCTGGTCTTATCGACGTTGATACGCTCCGCAAACGTGCCGCCCTGCATGGTAAAGACATAGTAAAGCTTGCCTGTGGACTCGTCTCTGGCGACACAGTCAACACCGAGGGTGTGAGGAAGCTCCCTGGCTGAGTAGTGGGCTCCTGAGGCGCGGGAGCGAACTACTTGGTGAACCCCAGCAGCCAAGACGCGGAGTTGGACTTGGCTATCTGACGGTGCAGGTGGATTGTCAACCGAGACATACCGTGGTCCTTGGGTCCAGGACTGAACTTGTGCCGAGTGCATATTTTATTGACTTGTTAACTTATTTATTTATTCGCCTCTTCTCTGGCTTTTTTTTGGCGGTTTTTTCCCCCTTTAACTTCTTAAATAATCATTCCGCAATCATCTTATATACTTATTATATTCGTAAGCTGAGTGGATTCTAAAAGTAAAACCCGCGTTTAATTCGCCTTAACGCCGTTCATAATCTGAAAGTGGGTATACTATTATTTCGAATCATTCGAGACTTACACTATGCATCTTACATACATTATGTACACATATAGACTAGAGGTTACCCTCCGGGCAACACAAAAGCCTAAGGTTTACACCGCACCATGTTTCTATACTATTTTTATTATTTTTATAATTATTATTATTATTATATTAGCAACCTACCCCCTATTAAACTGGAGGGCACCCCTACAATAGCCCAAATTTACTGCTATTACACGGCTGGACAATACTCTCAATACCCTCGAGACCTAAGTAATAAAGAAGCCTTAAATAGACGCATAAACTTATTCTTTTCATATTTACTGCTTTATAAGGCAGGAAAATTATCTGTAAGGTAGCAAGGCATGTGTCCCAAATAGGAAATTTTTACTCGCATTCAACACAACATCCTAAGGTAAACCTTAGGCATAGAAACGAATAGGAACATACCTAATCTATGTATTGTACAAGCTACTGCGTAGCCACAGGGGCTACGCGAAACACCTTGTTGGCTAATGGCTACATGTTTTACATGTACATATGCTCCTTAAAGAAACCTATATTCTGGGCAACTAAGAATCCTCTTAGGTTAACTATACATAGGACATATACACTACATGCAATGTGAGACGTCATTTTTTTATCTTATTGCTCGGTGTCCGTAGTTGGAGATGAGGTGTTGAAAGCTGCAAATTGGCTTGTCATGTAACTGACTATGTAAATAGTTCCCGGATATCTCGGGAATGCTTTATTGTAAGTAATATAGAAGAGGCAAGATTTCTAGTTGTAAGTTGATTTCTCATATAGATTTATCTCCAGTTAGCCGACTTAGGAAAGGCAGTATAGAAGATCTTTATCATATACGGAATACGTAGGTAGGTAGGTATACTTCTGGGCCTGTCGAACTGACTACCAAATCAACCGAACCACGATCAGTTTCACTAGCCTCAGGATCTTCACCTCTCCGCAACGGGGAAGAACATGGGGTTGCTAGCCCTACCGTTACCAACTTACACATGTTGTAGGTAGTAGTTTAGCTGAAAATCCTCCGGTCTAGTTCAAGGCACACTCGGACCCTTCCCGGCAGACTGAGTCGCAAACAGATAAGTATAGATGGATAAAGATGTAGACCTAATCCGTCTGTGCCGTAGTCTTGCAGCAACACTGTAACTCTAAGGATTCGATAACGACGTTTAAAGATGTGAAGGTCTTCCATTTAAAGGCATTTAAGTGTGTAAAGAATGATGTACGTAGGCTATGAAAATGGGACGAGGAGGCATAGTGCATAAAGGATGGGATAGTAGAGCGGAAAAAGAGAAACATAGCCCCCAAAAATGCATGCATAATACCTAAAGTGCGAAGTGAGAATCCTACGAAGAAGGAAAAGATGGGGAACGTCATCATAGGCGTTCTATTTTTTGACATTTAGGTAGATTCCTTCAGTCCTTCTAGGTAGCGTTGCAGATGTACTATGTAACTATGGTATAAAAAATGCAGATAGGCAGGACGGATAACTTCATTAGGTATACCTCTTATGTAAGTAGGTACGTATGTACCTAATCTTGTGAAAGGGGCACAGCTGCAGCAATAGCGGGAAGGTGTCCACTACCTAAATAATAAATGTGTACTAATAAATGCACTAACAGATGGACCGAACTGGCCTGGAGGTCTCCTTTATCTAGAAAAAGGTTTACCTGTTGCATGACCCCTAAAAGTCCCTAAATGTCCAAAGTCTCCAAGGTCCCCTAAGGTCCCATACCAACTGCTATTCCAATTCGCCTCCGCAATTTCGACGCGAGTAACACTTATACAACTGTACAACACCCCGAACTGCGGTGTCTCGTCCAGCATCATTGGCATCGCAGCCCTATTATTAGATCGAATCGGGGGATAACAAGTAAATACCTACCTACGTAATTGGACATAATTGGTACATTTACTATAGAGTATTTTAATTAAGACGAGAACAACGGAACAAGAAAAAAGACGAAAATTACAATAAACAAAGAAAGAGGAGGGAAGAAGAAAAGGAAAAGAAAAGATTAGAGACTGGAGGAAAAAAGAAAAAAAAAAGGAGGAAGAAAAAAAAAAAAGCCTCGCGACGTGACGGCGTCAGCAATAGCGAGCATCATCATCAGCCATGTCGACAACAACACCTCGAAGCCGAAGCCCATTGACACCGGTCAGCACGCGCAGTTCATCGTCTTCGGACCACGTCGCGATACAAATACATAGCTGCCCCTGCGAAAAATGCGAAATTCACTACACCAGCTATAATAACTCCAACGGTAGCACCAGCAGCAGTAATAGTAGTAGTAGTTACAACAGCAACAGCAGCAGCAACAAGGCTAGCGAGAGCAATACGACGCGCTTCGACGTCCCCTTAATCGCCATCCCGCGACTCTTCACGGCATTGCTAGGCCTGGCGACGGTAATCCGAGTGCATACGGTCATCGACGCCGGGTGGTGGCCGTGGGAGAACAAAGTGTTATTCTCGCTATGCTGGCTGGCGCTATTTTGGAATCTAGCACACGGCTTATGCAGTATCCTAGGATACGCGTACTGGCCGTCGCCGCGGCGCACCGTCGGTTTACCCCCCGTCACGCTCGCCGTTAACGGGAGGACTATCGTGTCCTTCGGCGGCCCCGACGAGGACGAGGGCATCCGAAGGCGCCGCGCTAAGAGGTTGCAGTTTACTATAGTTGATATCCTACTCGCCGGGCCGACGCTCGGGTTTCTGATATACTCGGCGCATATCATGTATCCTTGGTGGGGATCTAGGTACGTCGGCTTGTGGCCGCCGACGATAGGGTTAATCGCTTCCCTCGTGTAAGTGTTGAGTGTTGTAGGCTGTGGGAATTATATGAGAGTGTGTACCTAGGCTAACTATCGATATGGCGACAGTTCTTCCCAGTTCCTCACCGCGTTTCTCCAGCTGTTCCAATTCTTCGAGGCCAAGGTTGTCGGCGTGCAATTGACGATGCAGGATATATACGAGAAGGACGACTCCGCGGGCCGATTGCAATTATAGAGCGGGCAGGCGGGCGGGCGAGCGAGCAGGCGCGAAACGTGTGTCTATTATTCTTTTCTTTCCAAATCAGAGCGGAGCGGCGCGGAGCAAAGCAAGGCGAAGCGCAACAAAACTACGATGGTTTTTTGTAATAAATATTTAGGAGCGGCGTGGGGTGTTCCGAAAGATACCAAGCAAAGCAAAGCAAAGGGCGGCATTGCGCATATACTCTACCACATAGTCAGTTGGCGTGGGCGTGGGCCTTGATGATACCACAAAGGAGATAGAAATATATCATCTCTCATCCACCGCATTGTCGGCTTATAATCTCCTTTTGACGGCATGAGGTTTCTCTATTAATGAGCATTAGGACAACGATTCGGAATTACACGAGTTAAGTCAGATATCTAGGTTAAGCCATGGTATAAGATATCGAATGGTGAGTTGCCTCTCAACGGTAGCGATTCATGGTTTCTTGACTACGGCCTTTGGCGCAACGCCAGGTTAGATGCCATCGTTAGGTAGTCAGCTGGGTTACTGTAAGTGTGAAGGGCAGACTGATGTGTCCAGTTTGCCTTGGTTGGATACTTGTGATACTTAGTGGCGCTTATGATTTACTGCTACTATGTACGAGGTAATTGGTATATGATAGGGCGAGCACTAAAGACAAGATTGCGCCATGTCTAGGTATGTAACTGAGCGTAGCGCTCTCTCTATGTATTGATTGATTTGTCCTATCTATAAATTACCCATCTATGCTGCTGACCATGCCATATTAACAGCTATCGTGAGCAAGTCTCAGTCTTACTCTAGTTTAGCGGTCTTCCTCTCATAAAAAGAATGAACGCCTTGCGTGATGCACATTTACAATATGATAAATATAAAAAAAAAAGACGTCTTGTCTGCCACGGCATGAGTCCCGACGTATTCGAAAGAAAACACATTATAAACATCATCTCCATGGACTCATCCGTGGTTTTACGTTTTCCTCGTCCTCATCTCTTTACTCCTTCTTGGTCTTCTTCTCGTTCTTCTTGCCCTTGGGCACACGCGCGAGCCAGTAGAGGAACAGCGCGCCGAAGATGTTGAACACGATGTATGCCCAAAGAATACCAAAGTTGCGCCATCGGTCCTCTGTTCAGTAAACGTTAGCTTCAATTCCGATACATTGATCGACTTTATTTCCCAGATGACCGGCAAATACTCGACGTGAAGGGGGGAATAACTTACCATAATAGGCGTTGGCATTTGCCAAGTACGTATTTGTCTCCAAGACTGTGCAGTAACTGCAGTTCGACGTACGACCTGCGGTACCCTCTTCGATATAACCGCCAGTCGCAAGGACGTAGTTTTGCAGGTACTCGCCACAGGTTTTGGCATCAGGAGGGTCGAAGTGTACAAATTCATTGGTGGCACAATGTACTTGAGTATTTGCCACCGCCGTTGTTAACATGGCCGATACCAGGTATGAGAACGGACTGACGCGGTACATGAAAATCCAGAAGCGAGGGAAGGTATCGGGGCTAGCAAGGACACCACAGAAGATCAAGCACAAACTGAACATCAGGTTGGCAATGTTACCACCACCCTCGGCCGTTTCAAAAGCAGCGATGATCATGTCGGTGAATGTCGAAGTGAAAATAAGGAAGGCCCATAGGAGCAGGAACATCAAAGCACCGCGCTCGGTCGTTTGGCCGGCATCCGCAGCGTTCCTATAAAGTCCGACAGGGTAGTACCAGCAGACGAACATGAAGACAGCCATAAGCGTATTCCAGGGGAGCTCGACGATGATCTGCGACAGCATGAAGACCTTCCAGCCGTAAACCTTAGATGGGCGCTCGCGCACCTCGTAGAGGGATCTTTGAACAACGAAATGCGGCATTGTCTGTTGAACAAGCTGGCCGAAGATGGTCAAAATGTTGAAGATGGCAAACATTTGGTTTTGAAGACCTTGGATCGTGTTGGGGGCTCTGAAGAAGACGAAACCGATAAAGAGTGCCACGAGGATACAGAGAATTGCCTTAGAGTAGATGTACGATGGGGTTCGCCAGTATTGCTGGAATACACGGGATGTAACCTCCCACAGCTGAGTACCAAAGCTAGCGGCGTGCTCGCGGTAAGATTGCGGATCTTCAGCAGGTGTTGGGATATGCTGCGCTCCATCCTCGAGACGTTGAAGCTCGGCCTGCACGTCTTTATATTCGGGACTGTTGCGCCACGTCTCGAACCAGTCGACGTTGGTCTCGCTACCTGGGGCGGCACCGATGGCGTCGAGCATCCATTCAGCAGGGTTGGCATCTGCAGGGCAAGCCGGAGCGCCGTTGCGTTCGAAATAGCTGGTCAGAGTCTTGGAGTTCTCTCCGATTTCGCCAAAGTAGACAGTCCTTCCGCCCTTGGCAAGGAAGAGCAGACGGTCAAAGCGCTGGAACAACATGGCCGAGGGCTGATGAATAGTGCAAAGAATAGCTTGCCCACTCTTGGTGAGCTTCTCAAGAAGATCCAAAATAGCCCACGAGGTTTGGGAGTCAAGACCGGAGGTAGGTTCGTCGACGAATAGCAATAGAGGAGGCTTAGCAGCGAGCTCAACACCGATCGTGAGACGCTTGCGTTGTTCGACGTTGAGACCCTCGCCCAAGACACCGACGACCGCGTCTGCGTACTCTTCCATATCCAAAAGCTTAATCACTTCGTCAACATAGGCGAGCTTCTCAGCACGCGGAACTTCAGCAGGTTGGCGAAGGAGAGCAGAGAAGTTGAGAGCCTCACGGACGGTAGTAGTCGACAAGTGAAGATCTTGCTGTTGAACATAACCGGTCTTCCTCTGGAACGAATGGTCACGAGGATGGCCATCGACCAACATATCACCAGTGATAACACCCATAGTAATACGATCAGCCAAGGTATCAAGGAGAGTTGTTTTTCCAGCACCCGAGACGCCCATCAGCGCGGTAAGAGTACCAGGTTTAACCCAGCCGTCAACATGATCCAGAATTCGTCTCGGTTCTCCCTTGATCTTGATGTCATAGCAAACGTCCTTCCAGTGGAAAACGCTAGATTGTTCCTGTAGGGCACCACCCTTCTCAGCAGGGCCGTTGGCGCGGCTAGCGTTCGTTGCGATGGGGCCAACACGAGGACCCTCGCCTTCCTCGATATCGCCCTTCTTCTCCTTGAATTGGGCAGGCTTGTGACCAAGTCGGAAAACCAGCACTTCACCTTTTGACTTCTTCTCGGACACAAGTTCAGCAGCGATCATATAGGTAAATAGGAAGAAAAGCATGAAACCGATCAGAATACCAAAGTTTCGCCAACGGTGCGAGCTGTAGTACTGGAAAGCCGAGTTGATATACGCATCGCCATTGACGGTTGGACGTCCAGCTACACTACCGGGGTTACTGCAAGCGTGGTTCATCGCGCCGATGCCGTCGCCGCTGCCATAGCCTGGGACTTGAGGACTCGGTACGAATTGGTCACATGTAAATTCACGGTTCTGGAATTCGTTCACCATCAAAGACTCAAAGGCATATGCCAGGGGATCCAGATAGTTGAGCCAACGGCACCAACCGAGCATGTAGTCGATAGGAATGACGAAACCGGTGAAAATAACGAGGTCGAGGATGAGTATCGCAGCCGGTACCATGGCTTGGGATAGAGTACGCGAAGCCGAGCCAATCGTGCGGAAAATCATACTCATCGTCATGACCGTAAAGAACATAATGAGCAAGTAGAAGAAGAAGGGTCCTGGCTCACGTCTCAAGTTGGTGATGAAGTACAGAACCAAATTAAAGGTGAGACAGTTGGCAACCTTGTAAGGCATGTCGACAAGCATAGAGGCGACAGCTTCCGCCGAGGGGTGATACAGAGCGTAACGATTGTGTTTTTCGACGATGGGACGTTGGGCATACAGCGTGAGAATCTAGCAATAATTAGTATTGGACAGCCCGGAAGAAAATATTTCGAAAACATACCTCTAGGGCGCTGGAGAAAGCATTCATGAGACAGGCAAAGAACAGAAGAGCGCCACGTTGGTAGAAGCTCGAGGTAGCCGGTTGCATATTGTAGAACACACTGCCAACGATCAGGGCCATAATAAAATTACCAACGAGCGACCCGACTGTCAGACTAGGGTCACCAGTGAGACGTCGCCAGCCACGCCATAGACACAGCAAGATTTGTTGCGTGTAGGACATGGTGTATGGAGACTTGGATCGTTGACCCGCAGCCTGTTGGGCCCTCCTTGAAGCTCGGAAGGCTTCCGCGTCCGGGCCGTTCAGGGGGTGTTCTTGCTTATACTGCTCGATCTCGGCTTGCAAGGCCTGGTACGCGGCGCTGTTCTTCCAGGCCGTGGCAAATTCGTCCGGTGTTCGCGGAGCCTTGCCCTCAAATCCTGGCCGGACAATACGCTCTATCGAGCTGGTCATCGAGGTTAAAAAGTCGGGAGTCGTTTGTCGGGCGGGGCACTCGAAGCCTAGGTCGATGAAGTACTGCTTAGCCTCGTCTGCCCGACCGAAGAAGATCTGTCGACCTTCGTACAGGACGAGAGCCTTATCGAAGAAGTCGTATGCGGTTTGGGGAGCTTGGTAGATGGAGACGCAAGCGGTAGTTCCGAATAGTTCCGTCTCTGTTCGGAGCGTCTTACAAAACTCCACGGCGTTGGCACTATCCAAACCTCGGGTACTGTTATCCCAGCATTGTAACGGCGCTCGGCTGAGAGCAGCTTCGGAGATAGTGACACGCTTACGCTCACCTCCGGATACACCACGCACGTACTCGTTACCAACACGAGTGTTCACGGTATGCGAGATACCAAACATGGCCATGGTGACATCCCTTAAATGGTTGCAGTAGGTAGTCTTGTCAACGCCGGGAGGGAGGTGGCGCGGAGCACGAGCCGAGGCTGCGAACGTCAAAGTATCGCCGACAGTCAACATTGGGAAGTGAACGTCGACTTCTGCCGTATAGATGGCTTCACCGCGGTGATGTTTATGCATCTCCTCGGAGGTCAGTCCCTGGTAGTTGAAGTATGAGCCCTCTTCGACATAGATACCGTTAGTCTCGCCGGCGATCGTCTTGAGGAACGTCGAACAACCCGAACCCGGAGGTCCAAGCACGACCAGCATCTCCCCCTTGTGAACGACGCCGTCGAAGTTGCGTAGAATGTCGATTTTAGTCTGGCCTTTTCCGAGAGCTTTGCGAACAAGTCCCAGCCCTTCTAACCAAACATTAGCGACGTCCTTTTGGTAATCTGTCGCGGCTCCGAAACCGTGAACGTTGAGGTTCTGGAAAGCAACACCCGCAGTCCGGAATTGCGCGCCCCCGTGGTCGGCCATCCGAACGACGGCCTTGGCCCAGGCGCGCGCATTGAAATGAGGGGAGTGAGGATTCGTGGGCGAATCCTCGGAGCTGTCTAGATAAGGATTATTCCCGGTGACTCCAGTAGCGTTCGATTGGGTAGTATATCTGCGAGCGAGGTCGTGTACTATAGACTCGCGTCGCTCCAGCTCGGAATCATCTTCCACCTGAGTCGCAATGCTCGAATCTGCCGTGCCCTCCTTTTCGACATCGTGATGCCGTGCCGACGTCCCCTTCTCCTCCTCAATTTCTTGTTGGTGCGTACTCGACATTGGAGGCACTCCTGATGTTTGGGCTGTGCGGTCG